TAAAACCACGTTTAGTTTCCGTTCTGTTGTTATGTAAAAATACTAAAAGTAACTCATGAGAGGAGAGGATACAGTGTGTTTACAGTTCCGGGTCATAGGCAATCACTGAGGAAAATCAGGGTAGAAACTTGAGCAGAAGCTGGAAGTAGAAACTATGGGAGAAGGCTGCTTGCTGTTTTTTTCTCAGGCTCATGCTTATCTGGCTTTTTTTTATGCAGCTTAGGACCACCTGCCCAGGGAATGGTGCTGCCCACAGTGGGTTGGGCCCTCCTATGTCACAGACAGGCCCACAGGGCAATCTGATCTGGGCAATCTCTCAATTGAGACTCCTTCTCTAGTGACCCTAGACTATGTCCAGTTGATAAGTGTTCAGTTGACAGACAGTGTTCAACTATTAATTATTGGTAGTAATATGAAATATCATTTAGTTTCACAGTTTCAGGTGATGGGTAGCTGGAGCCGTGGCTTTGACCCTCAGGTGAGGGAGAACATCATGGAAGTGGGGAACATGAGGAAGCTGTTCACTTTATGGTGTCCAGGAAGCAGAGGAAAGATAGGAAGGGACCAGGAACAAGATGTGCAAAGGCAGAAACCCAGTGACCCATTTCCTCCCACTTAGTCCTTACAACCTAGCGGTCCATTCACCTGTGAACAGTCTACTGACAAAGTTAGCATCCTCATGTTCCTATCACTTCACCAACAGGAAGCAAGCCTTCTACACAAAACACTTGGGGCTATTTTATCGCCAATCAATTACATTAGGCTAAGTATTTTAAATCCTCATTTAACCTTTAAAACCATGTGTTCTCTTATTGCTACATTTTTTATGTCCACTTAGTCTCAGAGAGGTTAAATGACTTTCCTCGAAGCACATTGGAAGGAAATGCAAGGCTGTCTTTCCCATCTATATGCTGGCTCTTGAGATTGCATTCTTATCCATAACACAGTTCATCATGGAACCACTTCTTCAAAGTCAGCACAGAGGCATACTCTTAAAGAAACTTCCGAACATTTCTTTTGAATATAATTTCCTCTCCTGAGGACATTTACTGTTAATTTATTCTGAATGATGACTTTTCCATTTCCTCTGCAATTTATAAGAGCCATTCTTTTTCTGTGTAAACCAGAATGCTCCTTGCTCATTTCTGAAATTGGCATAAGCAGGGTATTGTCTCTTGAGATGTGAGCCTATATAAGAATCCAAATCATATTTCACTTGCAAATAAAGACTCACTTGAATAACAGAAACTCAAAGATGATTGTCAAAATTATATTAAGCATTTGGCAGACTTTGGTGAGTTTTGATATATATTAGTGATGGGCAGGAGAGAAAGAAGGATTCTAAGACATGCAATGAACTTCCTCAATGATTGAGAGTGTGCCATTATTATTTTAATATACTTCTTGGTACTATACTGTGTCTTTAATTATTTATGATATATTTTACATATATATATATACCTTTATTTTCTTGGTGTTCACGTATATTGATTTAGAAATAAATTTTCCATTGTAAGCAAAAATTCACTAAAAATTCCAAGTTTGGGTATTTGTTTCTGCTTTTAATTTTTTCACTCTATCTACTAATGTTACATACATTCTTATTCAGTGAATTCTAATTGTGCTGCCACTATCCAAGCCTCCCTATTGGCTCTCCAAGAATATGACCTGTACTATCAACTGGACTATAGTGGGTCTACCATCTACAAGAGAATCATAAATTATTATCGTAATGTTTCCATTCTTTCCTGAAATGCACGGATGTGCATGTGTGTCCATGCATCAGTGCATGTGCATTACAGTGTGCGAGTAAAGGTCAGAGGACAACCTGCAGGGGTCTGTCTCTGCTTCTACAATGTGGGGCCTGAGTATTGAACTCAGATTGTCAAGCTTGGTGCAAACCTTTACTCCCTGAATTGTCTGTCTAGACCTACTTTCCATTCTTGAAGTAACTATCACATGTGATTAACTTTAGAGAAGAAATATTATGTTAAGGAAAGACATGGTTCGTGTGAGGTGAGGACTGTGCCAGAGGAAATGGAAAGGGATTAGTTTTAGAAACAAGGAGATCTGCATTTCAATGGGTAAGGGAGCTGATGTGATTGAAATGGACTGGACTTTCTATCCTAAGAGTCTAGTAGGAAGGTTCCACGAGATTTCTTGACAAAACAAAGAACACAGCAAAATATAAACAGAGAAGAGAAGGGATATTCAGGGATTGCCAAACAGTTATGATAGCACGGAGCAAGAAAGAAGAGGAAGTTAAGGCCACATTGTGAATATGCTCAAATGTCATTGTGATTACTGTGTCACCAGCCAGTGTGAAGTCTGTCCCTCGGGAAGCTATTATTTTCATTAACTCTGCCATATATGTATGTACTGCCTTTCCCTACAGAGTAAGATCTTTGGTCATATTTACTTAGACTTACAACTTTACTCAATGTATTGGTTGTTGAATATATATAAATATCTGAGACTATATAGTTTCCTTTACATTTTATGCATGGATATGTATTGATGATATTTATATTATTTAATCAATGTTAGAAAAACTTTGTTAATTATATGTTAGAGTGTACATAGTTTCTATCAGTTGAATTGGTTAAATACTCTATTTTCTCAAGACATTTAAAAAGCTTTCTGTCTAGACATTTCAATTTGAACATGGGGTTAAATCAGAGTCCACTTTTTCAGATACTATTCTAAATTCAACCATGGTGTACTGGGTCTGCAAATTTCTCAGTAGCCATCTCTTCCCTCTTCCTCTCCATTTTACAGAAGAGGAAATCAGGTTATCTCAAAGTCACCAGCCAGTTACTGGCAATGCCAAGGCTAAATCCTAGTTTGGTGTTATCTTTCTACCACATAACACCCTTTCTTATCTGAATAAATGGCCAACAAATGCAGAACACATGAAGGACAATGTACACTGGTTATTTAAAAACTTAATTTTATAGATCACAGCAAAAACATATCAACCAATTCTAAAGTTCAGACATACTAGTGTACCACCCGGCAGGTTATTATTATTTTTTTTAATTTATTTTTAGAACAGTAGTATTTGGTTTTTGACCATAGATCCCTCAGCTACTTAGTTTCAGGTTCTTGGTCACCCTAGGAGTGCCGGGTTATGGGTTACATCTTGTGGAGTGGACCTTCAGTCAAATCAGATGTTGGCTGGTTACTCTCACAAAATTTGTACTACCATTGCACTAATATAACTTGCAGGGAGGACAGTACTGTCAAAATCCAAAGGTTTGCACCTGGGTTGGTGTTTATGTTTCTACTTAGATAGCCTGTAGAGTATCTTCCTGTACCAAAGAGACTAGCACATAGAGGTTTAGGCTCTATGTGAGTACCAGCTTGACTCCTCCACGTTCAATGAGTTGCGTAGGTGTTGTTTTCTGCAATGGGGTCTTGCTGTCAGTTTGTGGAGAACAACTTAGAGTCTTGGCAACAGCCTAGTTTATTTGGGAGTTTCCATGAGAGTCCTTTGGCCAAAATGACTCCTAATGACATTCTGTTATACTCCTAGATGAGTGCCTTGCTCAGCCATCATCAGAGAAGCTTCCTCCTGCAGCAGATGGGAACAAATACAGAGACCCACAGCCAGACATTATGCAGAGTGAGAGACCTTAGAACACTCAGCCATAAATAAGATGTCTTCATCAAATCTTTTCCCTCAGGGATCAGGGAACCCCCATAGAAGAGGAAATGGAAAGAGTGTAAGAGCCAGAGGGGGTGGAGGATACCGTGAAAACAGGCCTTCTAAATCAACATGGTGGACACACATTGAACTCAAAGAGACTGAGGCAGCATGCACAAGGCCCGCATGGGCCTGTATCGGTTGGGGTTCTAGGAAATTGGACACAAGCCTCCATCCCTAGCCCAAAACTAATTTTCAGCTGATAACCACTTGCAAATGAATGCGTAGTTTCCTCCAAGGGAGTCTCACTGGGGGAACAAACTACTCTTAAGGGTAGGCTGCATGTCCAGCGGTAGATGGCCAATGAAAAATGAACTCAACGGCATCTTTGGAGTTTCCTTGTTTCATAATGTTGTGTCAGGATTCTTCCTTTTTTAAAAAAATTTATGTTAATATTTTTAATTTTATTTATTTTTTCTTCTCTCTTTTTACCTACTACAGGTCCTTTGCATATATATCATGGTTCCCAGTTTAGTGTTTTTATGAGTGTGCAAATGAGTAGGTCTGTTGCTTGTGCCTTCTCTTGGGCTCTTTTCCTTCATTTTGCTTTGCTTTTATCTTATTTTATTATTATCCCACCGAAGCCTATTTGTTTTCTAATGAGAGACTGGAAAAGGGGTGGATCTGGATGGGGGGGGGCGGGCGGGAACTATAATCAGGATATATTATGTGAGAAAAAAAAACATATTTTCAATAAAAGAAAAAAAAACCCAGCATATGTTGGAGTATTTTCCAAGATAAGATAGAATTAATCCTATTATCATTTATCGCAAGCATCCTCTTTATTATTAATGCACCCCCAGGGCTCTGGAGCCTTTTTGGGAAGAGCCTGGTAAGATGTAACTCCAAAGTGAGAATCATACCCCTAGACAAAGTAGCCAGGATTTAACTCAGTACTCCGGCACAGGCACACCAGGGAGCATGTGGGTATGCGCTCAAGAGTCCTCAAAGAAATGCTTGATCAAGTCAGACTTCAAAAGAACAAAAGGAGCTCGCTGTGAAAAACGACTCTAATCAGTAATTCACTTCAAAGCCGAAGGCATTTTTTTTCAGCTCTCTCCTGACTGGGTTTCTTTCTCACTTAAGGCCACAGAAAACAACAAACAAGGTAGATAAAGCACAAATCCGGCTGCGGAGCTGCTGGCTGTCACTTGGGAGGCTTTATTATTAATAGTTGTCTGTCCTTTGTCCCCTTCCTCACCCCTGCCATCCCCCAGGCTCCAAGCTGCTCTCTTGGCGTCTTACAGCCTGAGCAACAGGAGGTTGGGGAACTGAAAAGCAACGGAACCAGAAGCGAAGGGAGCGGTGCGGACGGGGGGGTAAGAGAGGCGGAGGACCGGTAGGCCTACTTTCCAGGCCGCGGTCGCGGTTGCCAAGGGATGGAACCCCTGCGTGTCTTGGAGCTGTACAGTGGCATTGGTGGCATGCACCACGCGCTGCGAGGTGAGAGCGGACAGAAAACTTCTCGTGGATTCCCTCGGGGCCGCAGGATCCAGCTCTCGCGCCGCCGAGGGGCGGAGCGGCGGGGCGGGTCCTGGTGGCCGCCGACCTCGGTTGCCCTGGAAACCACCTCAGCGCCGCCCGGGTCCGCCCCTCAAGGCAGTGGCTCCCCTACTCTGGCCCCAGGCTTTGTAGCCTGAGCAGGCTGGGTGCCCCAACGTGCTGTTTGTGAGGGAGGATTCTTGGGCCTGTGAAGTCAAATGAATTTAATGTGGTTGAGACAAAGTTAAGGGAAGGGGGAGCCCTTTGCCCCGTGCCAAGGCCCAAATTCTGGGCTGGCTGTCACTGAGCCTGGAGGAAGTCACGAAGAAGGCAGGGGGTGGGGGTGGGTTGGAGCAAGGCGATAACTACAATTCAAGATAGAACTTTACACGTATTAGGATATAGGGGAAGCGAAAAGGGGAGGGAGTATGGTTAAGTCTGTGGAAAGAAACGTGCCTTCTGCAGGCCTACACAGATGCCAGGAACTGGGGTCAGATTTTGCAACTTTGGCCTTACATTTTCGAACCTGTTACTTGGTTTTAATTGTGCACTTCCAGAAAGGGACCTCAAGAATTAAAGACAGAGTAAGGTGCCTGACACGTCGTAGCTCTTTAGAAATTAGATTGCTGTCACTTTCGTTTGGAGTCTGTTTAATTTCTTTGGTATCTACTCACTTTTCGTGATAGTGACTCAAAAATACTTATTTTGTCAACTCCATTGCCATGTACTGTGTGCTAGGCACTTGTGATATGTAGTGAAACACATTGGATATGTGTGTGTGTCTATTCTGAAGTTGCTAAGGCAAATACAAAACCAGTTTCTCTGCTTTCCTTTTTAGTACCTTGAGTAACAGGAGGCTAGGAAGCATACAGTATCTAGTGGATTGAACTTGTACATTTTTTTCAGCAAATATTAATTTTTGAATCTCTACTAGGTTAAAAATATTGCATACTACTTACTTTTTTAGTCTTTACATTCACTTATCATATTAAAATTAAGCAAATTAGGGAAACGTGCACTATCTGCTTTATTAATTTTGCACAGCATATAGTGTTACCGTTTTCCCCATATCTTAAAATTTTTTAATTAACACAATTTAAAAAGCCACTTAATACCTTGTTATAAGCTGTACATAACAACCACTTACATTTTGAACTTGTAGATTTCTCCTAATTCTTTTCCCCAAACACATTATGCTTCAAATAAATCCTTGAATGTAAATCTTGATTTTTTTCTTGAAATGTGCTTATGAATGTTGGATTAATTCATCCAACAATGAAAGCTAGAACCGCAGTCGTTTCTTATCTGGACTGTAAGCTCTTTTTTCTGCCTACCCAGCTACCCTCTTGTCTAGGCTCAGTGAGCTCAGTGGGCCTTCTGTGTTCCTTCACTCTTCTAAGTTCCTTCTTAGTTCTAGCCTTTGCTGTTGTTACCACTTGGGGTATTGCATACCCAGACTTCCCTATGATAGCTTTTTTTTTTTCTCACCCATCTCATGTTAGTACTAAGTAAATGTTTTTTTTTCTGCCCCCCCCCCCCCCCCAGTTAACTGTTTTCACTGTGGTATTTCCTCACTGCTAAAATAAGATAAAAATCATGGTAACTTTGTAACATTTTGTATTATAGAGTTTGAAATGCTAAGTTAATATTGATGAAAGGCATATACATCTAAAAAGAATTAACCATTGAGCAAACAGGACTCAAAGTGACAAATTGAAATGGGATTTTCAGAAGTTACATACATACATACATACATACATACATACATACATACATACATACATACATATAATTGTTTATACATGGTATGTATGTATCTGGATGTGGGTGCTAGAAGAGACCATTAAAGGTTGTTAGATTTCCTGATGCTGGAGTTACAGGTGGTTGTAAGTCACCCAACATAGGTGCTAGGAATTGAACTGGGGTTTTCTGGAAGAGAAGTAAGTGATCTTAACCACTGAGCCATCTCTCAAACCCCTATAATTGTATTTTATGGCAGTTTTGATAGTTAACTAGAGATGGAATACTGTCTTGTCCTCTCCTATAGTTTTCATTGACTTTTATCTGAATATGTCAAACATAGTGAAATTATCGATTATTGAGAAAATACCAGCAAAGGACATTGTAATATTTTATAGTGGTGGGACATTTACCAAATGGTTCTGTTTCCTCAAAGCAAATTTACAAAAGATACATTCAGAGTCTTTGTTGTTGAAGTCTATAATCCTCTGGATCTCATGTGTTTGAATTATGTGTTCACTATTTACCTTGTTTATTTCCTTTGAATTCTGCATGGAACATTAATTGATTTTCTATATAAAAAAGGACTGTAAAGAACTTTAACTTGTATTTTTTCTTTTCATTGAGTCAATGGCATCAAGTCATACATTGAATCACCGTTGTGGATGTGTGTGCTCATAGTCTAAAAAGTGCTTTGAGAAGTATCTTTTGTTGTTTATTATCAGTATTTTCCTCTTATTTCTCAGGCTCATAACAAAAAGACCATTGAATCTTTTATTTAAATATCAGAAAAGTTAATTTGCTTTGTACTGATTGTAAAAATAGTACATTTTCTGGGGTCATGGTGGGGCATGCCTGTTATCCCAACCTTCAGAATATGAGCCAGGGGGATCAGGAGCTTAAGGCTGGTGTGAACTACATAGTGAAATCATATCTCTAAAGTCAGTTTAGACATAATCAAATAAACAAACAAACAAACAAACAAACAGCAAGAAGTAGTTCATCCTTACTGTTTGTAAACAATTGAATAGTACAAGGAAGCAAAGATTCTATCTCCTGAAAATTTCATCATGAAGATAGCCTCTGATAACATTTTCTGTTTTCCCTGTTGTTATATGTACAAACCACCCACAGAGACATGAACATGTGGTTCATGACTCAACAGGATATTCTGTAATTAGCTGTGGCAGTGAACAGGATGATTTTTACTTTGTATCAGTAGCATGGATTATCTTTTAAATATAACCGTTCCCATACATGCATGTAGTTCACATGTATATCTTTTTACATTTGTCCACATTTTTCTTTAGTACAAATTTTCAGATAACTATGTCTAATAACTAGAAAAATTTGTAACTGTAGGACTGAAAATATTACATATTCCTTAAAAAATATTGGAGATACCATTACAAATAGCCCTCTCAGTATTTACTGTATTTAGTGTCCACATACAGAAACAGGTTATGGAGTTGCTCTGTGATGAAGTTCCTGCTTCCATACTTGAAGAATCCTTCCTTCTTAACTCAGTTTAGGATACCTGGGAAATGTTCATTGAAATATGTATTTTTGTTTTCAAATGTGTAGCTAGTTGATTAATCAGGTTGTTGTGTTGATAGTGCCCTGCCTTTGCAGGTGACTTTAAAACACATTTCCTCATAGGAGCAAAGATGTGTCAGTGTGCATTCACTTGAGTGGCTAGTAGAAGTGTTTTCTGCAAATGACAAAACTCACCCAAACTAGTTGGCATAAACGTTTTAAATACAGATTCATTTAAAGGCAGACTCTAAATTTGGGGTAGAACTTGAAGTAGTGACCCAAATCATGTCACCAGGAATTAATTTCTTTATACATCTCAGTTTTACTCCACATGGATTGGGTGCATGCACAGCCATCCTGGATTTTGATGTGAGAGCTGGGGATTCAAATTCAAGTCCTCATGGTTTCAGAGCAAGTACTCTTACTCAGTGCACCATCTCATGAGCTCCCCAGCCCCGGACCGTGAAGTTAACAATATAGTTGTTAGAAAAGCAAATGGACAGCAGTTGTAAAGGAATTTCCCTCTTGCTTTAGTTTTCTGCTTCTGTGAATTTGGCATCGAGGTCTGGGTCAAAGAATGGCAGGTCATGAAAGATGATCTGAGGATCCACCCTCTTTTCCTAAACACTCATTGAGTACTGGGGACAGAAAGTTTCATTAGAAGTTTTTCGGTGAACTATCTTCCTGCAAATTAGACAAAACAAGTAAGACATATTGTGGGGCGGGCTGGGGGAGGATTGCCTCACCCTCTCCATTCTCTCCCGTCAGCCTATATGGGTTGATAGCAAGGCCAGGAAAGTTTTGCTTTTTTTAGTGCTCTTCTGAGATCATATTGTAGTCAGATTTTACTTAATATTTATAGTGGAGGTCAAAGCCTTCTGGTTACTGTTGTGAAAGCTTTCTGCTTATGCTACTCTAAAATCTCTTAAAAATACTTCTGAAATTTGTCTCTGAATAGTTACAACTTAAATTTTCTCATCAGCCTAATTTCCTTGTAACACAAATCTTAAAAGTTCTAATTAATAAAAATGAACCCGGAGCCAGGTATTGGGGTGAACGCTACAAGATCAGAGAAACAGAACAAGCCACAGCTAACCTCACCTTGCCAATTCCTCAGCTGATCTCGTTTCCTCAAACTGGAAGCCTCTGTGTCCTCATTTGAATGGTTCTCAGCTGAACTGCTGCTAAAAGCCTAAAAGTTTAACCAGGCTCTCGTTCCTCGTCCTCACGCCTTAAATACCTTTCTGCTTCCTACCATCACTTCCTGGGATTAAAGGCGTGTGTCACCATGCCTGGCTCAGTTTCTAAGGTGGCCTTGAAATCACAGAGATCCACGTGGATCTCTGCCATCAGAATGCTAGGATTAAAGGTGTGTGTGCCACCATTTTCTGGCCTCTGTGTCTATCTAGTGGCTGTTCTGTTCTCTGACCCCAGATAAGTTTATTAGGGTGCACAATATATTGGGAAACATATCACCTCATTTCCTAGCTTTAATAATGATAAAAATAAACCATCATCATCATCACTATTTTCTCTGTAACTTTTTTAGATAAGTGCTAAGTGATGAGTGGGGTTTTTAATAATTACCAAGTATCTCCTGTTGCTAGAGATTTTATTGACTCTATTTCATTTATTTTTAATAGGAGCCCTTTATGAGAACTGTTTTAAATATCCATTTCATTAATGAGGAAATTGAAGTTTAGAGAGGATGAGTACATTTATTTCCCAATACTGTGTAGCTCATGGGAATTTCACCATGCATTTCTCTTCCACTGTTTCCCCACTGTACAGTGCTGACGCTTGCCAGGACATCTCTTGATGAGCCTGGTGATTATAAGCTCAGTGTGCATGCCAGCAGCCAAATGCAGCTGTTTACATTTCAATTAAGATGAAATTAGAGAAAAATTTAGTTCCTTAGTTGTACTGGTCTCAAGCTAAATGCTTAATACCCACCCATACATGTATCATCCCAGACTTTGCAAATGTGGAATGTCCCTGTTGTCATCCACTGTAGAGTCCCATTGGATGGAGGAGCTGTTTTAGAGTAACTCTTCATTTCAGCTACCTGTATTTAGAAACAGAAATTGTAGGGACAGTGCCTGCCCTGGGAAGTTAACTCCTTAACCCTAAGGGTTATCTGTCTAAGGACTAAGGGTCCTGTCGGTGCCATGCCTCACGCACTCTTTGGCCTTGACAGAAGTGGCTCTTGAGTGACCTTTCTCTGTTGGTCTTCAGAGGAGAAAGCTCCAGGGCATCAGGAGGAGAAGATAGGAGCGGGTGGGTGTGGATGGGGCCTGTAGTGGCTGGCTCCCTCCTCTCAGGAACACAGTTTTGGTCGGCTTTCCCAAACACTTCCTGGAAAAGAACTTTTGTGCCTCAGTTTCTTTCTCAAGTTCCCCTCAAAATCCACCCCTGCTTTATTGAACTGTGTTGTGTTTTCTGATGTGATCTCTTTACTGTTTGTGTCTGGAAGCTCCCTCACGTGTTCTTTTTTATAAGCATCTTTCTCTCTCCCATGTCACTTCTCCAGATCTTCTCTGCCTTTCCACATTTTGTTAAAAAATAATATTTCAGTTCTAAGATGCAGTGTCCATGGAATAATTGGCTCTCAGTCCACACATCGAAGCGTATTCCTGTGTGGCCTTCTGTACCAGGTGGGGTGTTAGCAGCAGTACTCTAAGGAGTGCCTTGACCCAGAGTAAACATGGCTGTTGATTAGCTAAACTTGTAAGGCTTTCAGAGGAAATTAGGTGGATCTATGTGTGTATGTGTGTTGGGGGGTGCTTAGTTTTCATTTTATGTGTAGAAATAATTTCTTAGCAGTGTCTAGACATGCAAACAGCTTTTAAGAAAAGCCAGGAAATATATTTGCTAATAGCAATAAAAACATTTTAAAGTGATTTTATGTGTGTATGTATGTATGTATGTATGTATGTATGTATGTATGTATGTATTTTGGGAGGCATGTGCCACATGTTCATTTGTGTGGGGCATCCATTCTCTTCACTGTGCGGTTCCTGGGATCAAGTACATGTTGTCAGGCTCAGCTGGCAAAGATGCCTTTACGTGTCTCAATGGCCC